GCGGGCTCAGATCCAGCCCTGGGATGTCCATAGAAGCCTGTAGGCAGACGTACAGGAAGACCAATGGTTTACACATAATTCCTCATATGCATCCATATTTCACACTTCTTTATTTACAGTAAGTGACTATGAGGGTTTAACAATAGGTTTCCTATTTGCGAAGTAAATTATGTATATTAAACATCTGTCAGGTAACATTTGTAAACCAAAAAGGAGAGAGGGTTTGATGCAGATAAGGACTGCATTTAGGTGGTGCCATTAGTTCAGCAAGTTGAATAGTAGTAATAAACCGATCTAGGAGCTCGCCAGGTCTTCTCTGTTACTGGGCCTACAGTGCAGCGATGCACAGCTCCCCCAGCATGATGAATGATCCAGGCTTCTGTATGAAAGCTTTTAAAATGTACAAGTTATGTTGCCAAAGCACTTCACATGTCTGATCCAAAAGATGAAACTCTAAGCTGCACCGGTGGAAGAAAATGGGAAACTCAATCAAAAGCAATCTTTCTTAAAACTTAGTTATATACAGCATTAGTTAAAAACAAAAGTGAAAAATAGAAACCATAAAAACAGGTACACATATGAAAAAGCACAACTCAAGACAAAATTAACACAAAACTATATGAAAGCACAAAACTCCCTGAACAAGGAACAATCAGAACAGGCCAAGACAACCTCCGTCTTCCTAAGGGCGAGCTGAACCTGAATTCCTCTAATAACTCTTCCTTTCACTCTGAGTGTCAAAACAGTACGTCTGAAGGTGACTCACATCAATGACGGAAGCACTGCTGTCCAGATGTTTGTACAGCTCATACAGCACCTCTCTCAGCCTCTTCATGTTCTTCTTGTTGGGCTGAAGCAGCATGGCTTGGAAGTTGACTGGCAGCCCATACCTGTGAAACACAAGAGGTCTGTCAATGCAGGCCTTATTTCATTTGTTGAGGGGAAGATGTGAAACAAATGCGACATTAAAAGCCTGGATGGATGAGTATACAAATGAATGGAGCCTTAAACCATTCAGTGACCAGAATATGGAAGGAATAACAGTGACAAAACCTCATTAAGTCATGGAAGCTTAACTCACCTCAATACTGACTCCACAAACACACGCAGAGCTTTAATGTGAATCCACGCAATGAAGGCCTCACTGAAATTCACTTTCAGCCATCGTACCAAGGGCCCCTAGAAAGACCGAACATGCATTTTAATCATTTTTACATACATCTTTTTGCTAAAATACATACAAAGAGATTTATCCAAAGCTAATTTGTTGGTAAGCGTAAGTACAATATTAGCTGAAACTGCTGGAGCCAAAATAAGAGAAAGGCCTGTACAGTATGCGTTGCAAAAGTGAAACCAAAATTTTGTGAATACAGCAGCTGCCATCTTGGCATTATGCAACCAGATTCTGTGCAGTAGCAACCTAGTAGTTCAGTCATGTATCAAGCCACCAATCAAAGCTGTCAAATCGACTGAAATACACCCCTTTTTCTACTACAATTTAGAATGACACCTCCGTTTAAGGTTAGGTGTTAGGTTAAGCATAGGGCAAGGGTTAGGAATTATTCAAGCAGTGGCTATGGTCAAGGTTAAGCTTAATTTATAGCTGTCAGCAACTACACCTAGGTATCAACACGTACCTATGCAGTGAAAAGGTTTATGGGTAAACGTTGGTCATTGATAGACGGGCCAACACTCACACCTCCCAAATCTCAACTGTGCCTTGTGCGGAGCTGCACATCCTACACACCAATCAGTTCAACCGACTCAAAGCTGCTGCCGGGATTACTCACATCTTCGAAAATGTCGGAGCAAATTTCTATACTGCCATTACTTGGCTACAATGACCACCTATTCTCAATCTAAATGATTAATTCCTCACCTGAAAAAATATTATACTGTATCATACTGTCATATTGTGCTTTGTGTTTTTAGTTCGGCTAGTGCCATCACCTAACATGGAGGAGGTGGGATTTATGATATGTACTGCACCAGCCACCAGGGGGCGATCAAGTTGTGGTGGCTTTGCTTGTAGGAGTTCTCATGGCTTCCATATTTTATACAGTCAGTGGTTCAAACTCAGCATTATATACACATATCATCTGCAGCCAGATATTTATAGATATCTATGTGCATAATAGTATGCTGCAATAACGTCCTTGTTCCATACTTGGTCAGTAGTAGTGTTTATGAAGAAAATAATAGTCGTACAAACTGTTTCTTCTTGTCAGTGCATAAACGTGTCATCTCTTCTTTGTCTGCCTTCATCTCCTCCTCATTGTACTGGAAATCACGCACAATAAACCTAGCAGGTTAAAACACACAGCAGAGAGATGGCTTTCAGTGAACATACAGATGGGCAGGATCGTGCGCACACACTCTCTTACACAGTCAAGTCAAGTGCACTCCTGAAAACAGAGAACATACAAACAGATACAAACACACACAATGAGAACCCTCTGCTTTGCTAACTGGAGAGCGTGTCGAGTGCTGACAAAGTTGTGGATCACTTTCTTTTTCAGAGCATAACAAGCCTGTTCCTGCATTTACAAAGTGCTAACCTATTTCACTCACAAACTGTCATTCCTACTATCAATCTGTGGTTGATTTCCTGATGGATAAACAAACTGCATTCATGGAAAATGCAATTCAAAACAAAAATCTGTCAGATGACAGAAAACTGAAACACAGCTCAAGACCAACTCCAAAGAAACATTTACACAGTAACTCTTCTAAATTATTCTATTCATATGAAATAAAAAACTGCAACTGCAATTACTTGTTGTCCCTGGCCTTGTGCTTGAAGTCATCTACAGCCTTCCTGAAGAGAGTGACGCTGAACAATCCGCTGTCGTAGTCTTCAAACAGCAGCCTGGAGGAGAGAACACAACACAAGAGCTGGATACAAACAGTGTGTTGCTCAGATTTCGGCGGGTTTTCACAGACATCCCTGTGGGAAAAAACAACACATTCCCACCCCAGTGTTCATGTCTTCTAGGTGTAACCTATCACAGCTGGTTATGTTGCTGCATAGGTAAGAGGAGGTGATTTCCTTTGTTTACCTTGACCCCAACAAACTGAATGACCTGGAAGTGCTGGTTGCTGAACTTATCAGAGGGGCATCCTGCAGCCACCCCAGCTAAATTTTCAACAAGCTGCCGCTACAACCACTGTTTATGTACTTTTAACCTTAATAATGCTTTAAATGGTTTATACTCTGATAAAGAAGGCCCATATGGGAAAAATCATCTTTGCACATCTGTGTAGCGACAGGTGTGTATTACTACAAAATAGACAAAAATCAGCACCTGTTCACTGTAGACATTTATTGTAAATTTACTAAACAGCTACATTTGTCAGAAATTTCACATAAAAATTCTTCCTATCTACATAAAGGCTTCCAAAGGACAAAAAACCTAGAGGCTAAGCACTCAACCACCCAAACCAGCACAAAAAACAAACAGGATCATATAGATCATATAAATAAAAGGGTTTACTGGACAGTGAGACACAACTAATATAGTTTACTGCATTTTGAAC